CTCTCTCTCTCTTTCAACCCACCCTTAAGAGTTCAGCAATCCCCATGTCCCCCATCTCCTTTTCCCCAACTGTCCGTGCCGTCGTCGCTCATGCTCGAGCCTGTTCGGAGTAGCCTGGGTGCCCAAGCGGCGTTCACAGCATCCAGGCTGGCCGCCACTCTTCTTTGGAGTGCTCTGCAGTGGGCTCGCGAAACCTCATACATAGTGGGTATCGGAAACAGTAACTCTTTTTTTTTTTTTTTTTCTCTCTCTTCTCTCTCTCTCTCCCCTCCTCCCTCCTCTCTCTCGCTCCCTCCCTCTGTCTCACTCTCTCTCTCTCTCTCTCTCTCTCTCCCTCTATCGCCATTTCCCTCTCTCGCCATCTCTCTCTCTCTCTCTCTCTCTATCTCTCCCTCCCTTCCTCCCTCCCTCCTCCTCCCTCCCTCCTCCCTCCCTCCCTCCCCCCCCCGTGTCCCTCTCCTTTTTATCCTCCTCTGCGCTGGCCGCTCCGTCCAGGAGAAGAAGGATCGTTCGCTGCCTTCTGCGGACGGGGATGTCCAGTAATCACGGGCCCGGGCATAGGCCACCGCTACACTGTCATCCGTAAGGGATTCGCATCTGCCGCCAGCCCCCTCTCTACCAGAACGGGGTGTATACAGAGCTACAACCCTCGTCAAAAATAACCTCAAAAATGCCTCACGTAGCTGAACTGATTGTGGGAGATATCGGACCGAGTGCCGATGAGTGCGATGTACTTGTATGCGCCGCCCCTCCAATGTCGGTCATCTTTGAATTTTCGAGTCGCTCCCGGTCACACCACATCTGCCCTGGCCCCGACATTGAAGGGGCGTCGTATCGACATTGAAGGGGCGCGCCGACATCGAAGGGGCGTGCCCGCCATTTTGAGGTTAATTTTGACGAGGGTTGTAGATCGGGATGTCTTTGCGCCGCCTTGAAGACATCAGGGAACATGTGAGGAGGACTGGCAATCAGCAAGGCATATTGTGATCTTGGAGTTGCAGTTGAACGCTTCGTTGCCTTCTTAGAGCGCCTCCCTTCTGATTTGTGTTAGAAGCCCTCTGGGACTGCATGTTGTTTCCTTGCATCCCTGGCCAGTTTTTTTGTTTGAGAATTCCTGGATTCGGCTCCAGCGCCGACTTTTCAGGAAACGGCTTCCCGATTCTGTCCCAGGCAAGACCCCGAGGGTTTTTGGTGTCTCCTCCAATGGATGTCCCCCGGGTTTGCGCGCTTCGCCCATCAGAATCCAATGGGCGCCCGCCAGCCCAGGCAAGACCCCGCGAGTTTCTGTTGCCTCCTCCAACTGATGTCCCTAGGGGTTGCGCGGCTTCCGCGGGCCGTCGCCTCGGGCTCCCAGACCTCCCGCTGCAAATCGCCCGTGGAGGAGGACCGCCTGCATTGGATCCGGCGGTCCGTGGACGTCGTTTTGGGTTGTCTTCCGGCAGGGCTACTGAGCCTCTCCGGGGCCTTTCTGCATTGGCCGTCTTGGGTGCCTCCTTTGAGAGCAGGCTGAGGGGGGGCGCCCCCATGGCCTTCCCGAGGCTTCTGGAAGGCCGCGGGAGGGCCCCCAGATCCTTCGTGAGCCCCTGTTCGGGGGTCGATCCCATGGGACTCTACAAGCCGTCTTTTCCCCTGGGGGGCTGTCGCATTCGACATCGTGTTGCCGCGCGTATCGCCATCGGGCTGTGATTGGTCATCCGCCCGGCCAAATGCATGATAACGGGCGTTCTCGGTGCGAAGTGGCTCCGAGCAGCCCTCAGCACGGAGAGCTGATGGGAGCGGCTCCGGCGCCCTGGAAGAGGACCGCTGCTGCGCGGTCCGGCCTCCGAGCTGCCTCCGGGCCGCCCGGAGCTGCACCCGGGGCTGGACCTTCCCGGAGATTGCCGCGTCGCCGGCCCGCCGTCGTGCCGTCGGGGGCCGGCCCAACCTTCGACCAGACGTAGGAGTGGCCTTTCGCCGGAGTTGCATTTTGGTGCTGGCCCACTGGCCACCCCGATCGCTGGGCGCGATACGGTAGCAGCGGCCTGCGCGCGTAGGCTTGGCCCCCCCCACATACCCCCGAGTCCCCCGGGAAGCCGCGCACCAAAAGTCACTCTTGCCCAGGGCCGCTCTTGCGCGTCGCCGAAGCAAGCATGGGGGGGCATTTCATTTCTTCCTGTGTTGTTCTGCCGTTTTTGTTTTAGATCGAGCGCGCCCCTCTACAGGGGGGAATCTTCAAAGCCAGAGAATAGTCAGAAGACGAGTCTTCGACTATGCTTGACTAGTCTTGAATAGTTGCTGCTGTTTTGTTTATTGCTCGTCGGAAATCCGCCTGTAGGAGGACACGCCCGACCTAGTTTTTGTTCCGCCCGCCCTGGCCTGCGTGCCCGTGCCTGCACCTGCGCCTCCCCACGGCTCTGGCGGCGCGCCCATGGGAGGACGGCGGAGAGGGCAAGCCTTGCCAGAAGGCTCGGGAGGCCGCTGGCCTTATGAGGAGTTTCCTTGGCCTGGCGGGTCTCTCCGCAGGGTTTAGGCGACCCGTCGCCCTCCTCCTCCCTCCTTCTCCTCCCTCCTCCTCCTCCTCCTCCTCCTCCTCCTCCTCCCTATTCCTTCTCCTCCTCCTCCTCCTCCTCCATCTCCTCCTCCCCCTCCCCTCCTCTCCTTCTCCGCTCCTCCTCCTCCTCCTCCTCCTCCTCCTCCTCCTCCTCCTCCTCCTCCTCCTCCTCCTCCCCCTCGGGTCGCCTACGGCCCCGGGGGAAGCCGTGCACCTCGGCCCTCCTCTCCGAAGCCGCAGGAGGGCCTCTCGGGAAGCCAGAGGGCTTCGGAGAGGCCCCGCCGCCCTCCGAGGAGTTGGCGACGCGCCGAGGGGGCTGCTTAGAAGGCTTCTTAGAAGGAGGCTGCTTCTTAGAAGCCGCGGGCCTTACGTTTACAGGCAAGGCCCGCGCCTGCTAAGAAGCAGGGGTGCTTCTGAGAGGCCTTCCCCCCTCGCGCCCCGCCCCCCTTCTGCGCGCCGCCAGAGAGGGTCTGCTCCCTCTTCCCGTGCAGTCCTTCGCGGGAGCCTCAGAGGGTCCCAGAGTGCCATGCGGCTTTCGGGATTTCGTCTGGATGTCGTCGGATTTGGTCAGCACCTGGACGAATCCTATCTGGGTGGAATCTGGACGAACGGGTGAAGATGGGCGGCGCGAAATTTGGACGACATCCGGTCGAAATCACGTCTATGATGCAGTCAGGACGCTGAGATCAGGACCGTTGCGGGTTCCGGAAGGGGATCTGGCTTCTGGCAGGGCTGGACCGAAACGCTGTTTAGTTAGACTTCGGCTGTGATTTGTTTTTCGTTTTGGCAGGGAGGTGCAGGAAAACAGGTAGAGCAAAACGAACAACAAAACGACAACACAGCGAACAACAACGTTTAGGTCCAGCCCTGGTTTCTGAGCCGTTCCCGAACTCTGGGTTGGGGAATTTGTTCGTGGCCGAGGCATGTTGTGGCCAGAAACGACGCCGCTTTGTTCCTCATTCAGCGCTCCCTATCGGGTGTTGCTAGAATCGGAGCACAACACATACATACAGTGGAGACCCATTCCAAGAAACACCCTGCTCGCCTCCAGGGTGCCCTGGGCTTTTTGGGTTTCGATGATTTGCCATGGAAAGCGTGACGCTCCCACACCCAAAATGAAGGGACATCATGGGGTCTCAGGAATGGGTTTCTTGTGGAAGGTTTCTTGTGGACTTACCCCCACTGTACACATGAATACCTTTTCTGGTCGCAGGGGGCCCTGAAAGCCGCGTATCGCAGGATGGTGTTCGTGGTAATCTGCTTAGCAGCCGCAATGGCGTTGTCCCGATGACGACGGCGCAGGCCCTCTTCGGGTGATGGCGAGCCGGTTCCGCGAGCCCCAGCCGGCCCCGCCCCCGCCGACGGTGCTGGGCCCTTCTGGGGGCAACGTCGGTGTGCACCACAAGCCCCAGCAGGGCACGACTGCGCGTCCACGCCGAAAAGTGTACACACCAGTCATGCCAGATTGGCGTATACGCCCCACCTGGCACAGTCGGCCCGGATTAGTAGGTCGACCCTGCCAGCTCCAGGGTACCCTTGTGTCCTGTGCCTCGCGACACGTGCCTTCTTACACTCCTATGGCGATGTGGCCCTCGGAAGGGTCTTGTGTCCTCTCGCGTGTCCTCTCCAATCGAGTCCGACTGTAAACAGCGAGTGTCGGCACACACCGAGAACGGTATGCGCCAATCACTTGTGGGCCGGATGTCGCCGCGGGGGGCGAGAGCGGCTGGGACCCGCGGAATGCACAGCGAGCTTGCACATGCGCGCTTGCGCGCACGCAGCCGCGCGCACGCAGTCGCGCGGCGCGGGGAGGACGATGAGGCTGCCGAATTCTAATCGAAGCAGGAAGGAAGGGTGTCCCCAGGATTGATTTTCTAGGGAGGAGGAGGAGGAGAAGGAGGAGGATGAGCAGGAGCATGAGCATGAGCATGACCGTGGGGCGCGTCCCAAGTGCTGGACCACTGAGCTGCTAACTTCAATTCACAGCAACCTGCAATCTGAAGCACGGCAACACACATAGCAGCAAAAGAAGATGCGCCTGGGTTCTCCGTGAGGAGGGCGAGGCCAGTGCCAGGCGTGCGCAGCAGCGGAGGTGCCGCTGAAGGCCTGGCAGCGAGCCCATTGGCGCGCAGCCTGCGGCTGCTGCCAAATGGCACCACCTTCAGGAGTCAACTCCTGCTGGGTGCACCTCGTCCTTTCCCCTTCCCTTTGCGGCGACGGGGGGGAAGCACTACCGCGGGCCCCACTTCGGGAGCCGCCGAGAAAGTATAAAAACTAGGGTTTTGAAAGACAGGAGTCGTTTCGGGACCAGGAGCGGGCTCGAGAGGAGAAGGACGGATCACCGAGGGAGCAGAGGGAGCAACTAGTCCCGAAACTCTCGGAGCATCGATTTCAGACAGCGCACCCAGTCTTAATAGCTGCTGAGCCCTACTACTGTCTGCCCAACTGAACTGGCCAGGCCTACTTCTCACTACTTGATCGTGTCGAGGAGCCCCTGAGCCTCTCGAACCAGAACACCCCTGGGAGCCCCGCCCATGGTCTTCGTGCCCCCCCTGCGCCGGAAGGACGGCCCGTGGGCTGGCCAGGACCTGGCTCGCCACCTCCGCGGTGCCGTCCAGCAGGAACTGCACCGTGGCCTGCTCCTGGTGGTTCTGGTTCTTCGCCTTGACGCGCTTCACCCTGCAGAAACGGACGTACTCGTGCAGCTCGTTGGGGTCCCTGCACGGGGCGACCACCGTCTCTCCCACAGCCTCATGCACGCCGCAGCCTCCCTCGGCGGCTCCTTTTCTCCCCCTCGTTCGGCGGCTGACAGGCCCCGAAAATAAGCGCGGAGAAGACGCTCAGAAACGGCGCGCACATCAAGACCTTGTCGAACGGCTTGCCCGCCTTCTGTGCCTCCTTCTCGAGCTCTCTCTGCGTCTGAGCCTCGCTGTTGAACGCCTGGTTCTCCTCCAGCGCCTTCTCCACGATGGGCGCGCTGATCGGGACGAGCCACGTGTCGTACACCGCGCCGATCAAGCTTCGCAGCTCCGCCTCGTCTGTCAGCACCAGCTTGGCCAGCACGACCACGAGCTCCTCCAGCGCTTGAGGTTTGTTTGTTCCTCCTCGGCCACCTGCTTTCGCCGTCGCGGCGATGCTTGCTCCTGCCTCCGTCAGCTGCTTCTTTTGAGCGGGCTCGGACGCCTCCTGCGCCATCCAGGCCGGCTTGCTCAGCGGCATGGCTGCCACGATCAAGACACTGATGAGAGCTCCTGTCATAGATACTCAGCTCTCGAGGTAAATGACTACAGACATGATCTTGATAATCAGGGAGTGTGGCTGCATGATATTCACAGATAGGGCACTGCAAATCCACGACTTCACGGAGTGGCTCCTGCGAGTACCCCCCACCAGCATAACAGCAGCCACGAACCATCGAACTGGATAGATGCCTTCCTGCAGTAACTTTGCTCGAAAACAGTGCCAAGCAGGAGGGACATTGATTAGTAACACACAGAACATGTCCCAGAGACCGATAATGATGATGAAAACGTAGATGGTTCAGTGCCGATTTTTTGTCAGTAAACTTAGCCCCACACCGACACCTCCTCCCTGTAGGTACCCCCTCCTCCATCTCGTCGGCCTGCACTCCACATACCCACGAAATGACACCTCCATCCACCACCTCGGCCTGAACAGATTGACGCTCTAGATAGTTGTCCACGTATTCTGGAGGGGCGATAGAGACTGTATGAAGACGACGACGGAGGATGGTGAAATCTATCTTGCAAAAATCTCGAGCGAGTTCGTGATCCCACCACAGCGCCATAATGGAGCCCTGCAGCTTGGCGAGCAAAACCTCGCCCTCTTCCACACACTGCAAGGCCTCAAGATCAGCCTGAAACTGGCGCGCCCAAGGATTAGCATAGGCCGTCAGTCGGCCCATATAATCATACTGTTGTCTATCATCTGTCGGGATCGCGCCGAACAGGGCCGTGAGTATCTGCTCATGGCGACCAGGGTACCTAACAAATTGCGCAAACCAGCCGAGCCTCCTAATACGAAGCTCCGTAAACGAGGGTGCCATTCTCCAGTGCAATAAGACCTTTTCGTTCGAAAGCGACTCGATGTGATTGCCCCCCTCGAAGCTGGCACCCCTCATAGCGACGCGAGCATAACGAATAACCTGCGAGTCGATCTTTTTGCACTGAGCTTCTGAAATCAAATAAGCTTCCAAATTCATGATGCCACAGTTCTGAACGCCAAGTAGACAAGAACGACGAAGTCGAAAAGGGACCCCTGGAGTACTCCAAAACCTTCCGAGAGCGTGGAACGACGATTTAATAGCCACGATACGCTTTGATAGTTCGGGTCCCAGCGAGCCTGACGAGTGGATCTGGCCTCCCAAGACACGCATAGAGGGGCGCACGCCTCCAGAAAAAAAGCTCAGGACCGACAGCACGTAATCGGCGATTGGCAGAAACAGCGCCCTGGTCAGTGAGGCAGACAATCGTATTTTGTTTTGCGACGTTCTGAGCCCACCCTCCTCCCGCCAGGGCCTCATCCAGTAAACGATTGGAGTGCTCATTCGCGCTCGACAGCTCAGACAAACCTGCATCCAGCATGTTGCCTGACGGGCCGCCTGCAATGTGCATCTTAGTCAGATCGTCTGCGTACTTGGTGAGACTTAAATCCAACAAAGTGCCCGTGATCGGACATTCGGCAACCAAAAGTCGATCCGTGTCGAGCGTGTCATAAAGAGCTTCACCCCGTACTTCCACTGGAATATCATAAGCTCTGCCAAAGCTTTCTACAGCATGCGGGTCCCACATAAGTGCACCACAACGCGGTCGGACAACTAAAGCACTGTCGCTGGCAGGAAGTTGAATCGTGGCCTCTCGAAACCTTGCCCTCCCGAAGTTCATATCCTGAGGTTCCAGAAGAAGAGTGTTAGCTTGCTCCAGGAGGTCCCAAGACGTCGAAGGGAAAGCGTTACTCAAATCTTTGTTCGACCAGCTAGTATTGTATCCATTAAGCCTACACCTGTGTGACATGATTTGTATAACCAACATGGCCCCCTCTTTCCTCCTTCCCCGCGAGAAACCGTAATCGTTTGGTCCGAGCGGTACAGGGTGTTTCCGATCAGTAGCCCCCGTCAGCCAGGCCTTGCCCAGAGGATCCAGCAAGTGTATGACCCGTTTCCCTTTGGGGCCTGGGGTTGAGGACTTGGGTAGCGCGCAACCGAACGACCTATTCCACAGCTTAGGGAACTTGCCTGCAAATCTGATACATTCAAGTCCGTTGAGCAGAGCATCGTAAACAACAGTAGCATCTAGCTCGCGCTCTGCACCGACTCCTAAACGATCGGGGCGAATACTAAAATCTGGATGCGTATCCATGCCCCACACCTCAGCGGGGACAGTCCAAGGTGGACAGGAACGCCTCTTGGGCGCTCGGCGTAAATACTTCGCAATCGAGAGCATGTCTGTTAGTGCTTCCACTGGGAATATTGAGTGTGAACCCTGTTTTACTTCCTCCGTCTCCTCGTCCTCCTCAGTAGTAATTTCCACCGCTTCCATCCCACCTTGTGGCCCCTCCAGCCCCCATACCGACATCCACTCCTCGGAAGTGAGAGCAGCACCCTGTAGGTGTCGAAAAGAACGCCCTCGGGGGCCACGACCTCTTGCCGCTAGAAGTCGAATCAGACGATGTGCTTCCTTCAGGTTCCTGATTCTCCACGCCTCCTCCAACTCCTCCGTCACCTGCTCCCTCCATTCCACCATGTGCTGCTTGCGGATTCTTGCACAGTGCTTGCTAAGCTCCTTCAGCTCCTTCATGATCCTCTCTTCCTCCTCCTCGTTCCCAGCCTCCCTGAACTTAGAGCGAACCTGAAGGCGCTGTCGCAACAGCTCTCGGCGCTGCGCTGCGTGCTGCTGGTAAGATGGGGAAGCCCCTGCAGTCGAGCCACCGAAAACTTCGCGCCCAGCAGACTGAACTACATCTGCCACGCACTTAAAGTAGCGGTTCGGCTGCCCGCTGGTGACAGCGTCTGTGAGCACGTTCCTATTCTGCTCAACCAGCAAGGCAGCTTTGGCGAGAAAAGTGCGGCGCGCCTCTGCCAACCTCATGGCATCGAAATTCCAGAAGCTTCTATCTGGAGAGAGCTCTTGGGGGTCCACGTGGGTCCAGTTGAGGTTGCAGTGCAGGGGCGCATGATCTCGGAGGTGCCGTGATGGGATGAGTTGATGTCTACGCATGGGCCCCAGCAGAGGCCCTCCCGAATGGACCAGACGTTGAGCACCCGCGGGCCCGAATATATAATCAACTCTGCTGCGGATGTTTCCCTGTCCAAACCATGTTGGTTCGACGTGACTCCGAAGCCCAAGACGCACCATGCCGTACTCCTCCATCACCTCCCTCACCAAGTGCCCAGCGCCCCCAGACATATTCTCCCTGGTCGAGAGCCCTTCCGAGACAATTGTGGTCCCGCTATAGACCCAATTTTGATCTTCCTTAAAAATCCCGATTCCATCATTCAGGTCCATGCAGACAAGAGGCATCGTTCTGGAGTTGCTGGCCAGGTCCGCGAAGACCTTTCTCAACCACGTGGTCAGCCTAGACACGGTCGCGAAGTAGTTAGGTCTCCCTTTTACTCCCCGTGGTCGTGGCGGAAAATACAGCCCCAGAATAGCTAAGTCTTGTCCCTTGCGTTTGACACGAACTCCAAAGCCTCTGCCTCCGAGCTCAGCAACTGGGACCCACTGGCGGACAATGTGCGACTCCCTGAGGCCGCAACTGAGCGAGATAGTGATGCCCGCACTCTTGTTAGTGTAAGCCCCTGCGCACCAGCCCGCTTCAAGAACTAGTGTCTTATCAATCCGCTTCTTCTCTACCTGGCCGTCGAATTTTGCTCGAACCTGCGTGCCAACGAAGACGCGCACGTGAAATGTCTTTGCTGTCTCGGTGACGATCTCCTCAAGTCTGTCGGGCTGACTCAAGCTGAGAGGGTTCCAATGAAGCAGACGCAACATACAGAAGATGGCCACGCTGGCAATGCGTGACCGAACGGCCCAGAGCGTAACGCTCGGTAAACTAAACATGTCACTGCGTTGTGTGTGTATGAAGGTGGGTCGGGCGGCGCTGCGTCGGGCCACCTTGTATGAGCAGGAGGAGGAGGAGGAGGAGGAGGAGGAGGAGGAGGAGGAGGAGGCCCCCACGGCCCCCCAGAGCCACCCCTCGCAAGGCCCAGAGGGCCCCCCAGAGGGGCCGCAGACGGAGCGAGAAGCTGGGGACGCCCTGGACCACGGGCCCCTTTTGGCAAGCCCCGACCCGATGGTACAGTCGAGGCCGATGATGGGGATGGGCAGCCTTCCCAAGGGCACCCTTGTTTCCTTGCCTTAAGTCGGGCCTGTCCCTCTACAGGAGGAGTATTCAAACATATGTTGTTTGGCATCTGTTCTTTTATGTTTGAATATGTTTGCATGCTGTTGACAGTTGTTTTGGATTTGTCACCCCGATAATCCGCCTATAGGGGGGCATGTCCGACCTAATCCTTGCCTCGCCGATCCATCCTTGACCCCTTTCGATGGCCTGCCGCGCTCGAAGAGGATGCAGCACGGGCACCTCGGAAGCCTTGCACGCCTCATGATGAGCACACGGGAAGACGCAGCTCAGGAGGGCTGCTGAGCGGAAACCCTTGGACAGAGGCTCTCTGCCTGAGCGGTTGCCAGTCAAGAAGGTCTTGAGGTGACCAGAGCCATACGGAAAAAAACACGGCCGAGCCAGGAGAAAGCAAAAAGGGGCTCGCATCCTTACTTCATGCATCGAAGAATTTACCCCAGCGCGACCCTACCTAGAAGTTGGAGCCCCTAGGAAAGCAGCATTAGTTGCTATGCTATGCCATGCCATGCCATGCCATGCTATGCTGCGCTATGCTGTGCTATGCTATGCTCTGCTGCGCTATGCTATGCTATGCTAAGCTATGCTATACCATGCTGTGCTATGCTAAGCTATGCTATGTTATGCTATGCTAAACTGCGCTATGCTATGCTGTGCTGTGCTATGCTATGCTGCTCTATGCTATGCTAAGCTATGCTATGCTATGCTTGGTTATGTTATGCTATGCATGCTATGCTAATGCAGCGCTGCGCTATGCTAAGCTAAGCTAAATTAACCCTCTAGGCAGAGCCTAGGTAGGGAATTACACCCATGCTAATTACCTAAACAGAATTAAACTGGCAACGCGGTTGGCACACACGAGCGCCACAAAATACACCCACAGATCTGGGGCAGGAGGACCAGGAGCCGGATGACAGTGAGGATGACGAGGAGGAGCAGGTGGCAGCGGCGGCAGTGGCGGCAGCGGCGGCGTCGCCCACGGATCGGTTTTTTTGTTTGCTCTAGGCGGGGGGGGACGACGACGACGACGACGACGACGACAACCGACGACGACTACCGACGACGACGACGACGACGGATGCTGTGGTGATGCAATGGTGCCCATGGTGGGGGCGACGGGGGCGACCACGCTGAGCTAAGATGAAGCTAAGCTAAGCTAAGATGAAGTAAGCTAAGCTAAGATGAGATAAGCAACGCTAAGCTAAGGGAACGTAACTGGGGGAACCGCGGGGCGGATACTGGGGGAACCGCCCGGGCCGGTTCCCACTGCCCGGCCTTTTAGGCCCAGAGAGTAAGAACCCTTCTAGGCAGAGCCTAGGTAGGGAATAAAACCATGACTACTATCCTGGATGCATATCATCAGTGCTGGATGCAATTTGGACCAGCTAAGGTACTTTACTCCGATGGAGAAGGTGCCCTTAGTAACGACACTGCGAAAGCAGTCCTCAAGGCAAAGGGCACTGAACTATGCTGCGCTATGCTATGCTACGCTGGGCTATGCTATGATAGGCTGTGCTGTGCTATGCTATGCTATGCTCGGCTATGTTATGCTATGCTGTGCTATGCTAAAGCTCAGCGAAGCTCAGATGAAGGTAAGCTCAGCTAAGATAAACCTGAGCTAAGATGAAGCTAAGCTAAGCTAAGATGAAATGAGCTAAACTAAGATGAGATAAGCAACGCTAAGCTAAGGGGACGTATCTGGGGGAACCGCGGGGCGGATACTGGGGGAACCGCCCGGGGCGCTTTCCACTGCCCGGCCCCTTTAAGCCCAGAGAGTAAGAACTCTTCTAGGCAGAGCCTAGGTAGGGACAAATACCATAAACTTTAACTTTTGGCGCTCCGCGCGGATTTCTTGGATCCGCCCTGCCCCCCCCCCCCGGGCGGCGCCTCCGGCGCCGCCCCTGGCGCGCGGAGCGCGCCAGGGAGGGGGGGTCCGGCGCAGATCCAAGAAATCCGCGTGGAGCGCCAAAAGTTTGTGTCTATGATTTTTGTTATTTCTCTTCTACTGTAGTCAGCATCGTTCAACCGACCCCTACCCCATCCCCATCCTCATCCAAACCCCCACCATCTCAGGACTCCAGTTGAGGAGATGCCTGCGAGGCCTGGGGGACACGGCCTATGCCCCCATCATCTGGGTGGGGGGGGTAAGTCGGCCAGAGGGGCCCAGGCCACGCCTCCTCCTCCTCCTCCTCCTCCGCCTCCTCCTCCAGGGCCCCCAGGGGTCGGTGAAACGATGCCCACCGGCGGCCGCGATGGGGCTGGAGCTGCGCGGGCCCCGCCGCACGCGGGCCAGGAGGCTTCTCGGGGGCTCTCCGGGTGCCTCCCAGAACGACATTGGACCCGCAGAGAAGGGGAAAGGGGGAGGGGGGCAGCCAAACATCTCGCACGCCTTGTCCCCCCCTGGCAAGCGGGGGCCGGCGGATGAAAAGCATGGCCAAGACCGACGCAGCTTAGGATACCGTCGGGCATGGAGTCCAGCTAACTCGGCGAGTGAAACTCCTAGAATAGGAACAGCGAGTTAAACTCGCTGTTCCAGTTTTATCATTGGGCTTACGCCGCACCGCCGACCCCGGCAGCGCCGCCTGTGCGCCCCCCCCCCCCTGGGGAGCCCCGGCGCATCGGCGGCGGCCCCGCCCCGAGGGCTCCTCGCAGGGCCGCGGGGGCCCACGGAGAGGCTCCCCCTCTCGCGGCAGCCCCCTGGGGGGCCCCGACGCCTCGACGGCTCTTCCTCCTCCTCCCCCTCTCCTCCTCCTCCTCCTCCCCCTCCTCCTCCTCCTCCTCCTCCTCCTCCTCCTCCTCCCTCCTCCTTCTCCTCCTCTCGTTGTCCTCCTCCTCCTCCTCCTCTCCTCCTCCTCCTCCTCCTCCTCCTCCTTCTCGTTGTCCTCCTTCCTCCCCCTCCTCCTCCCCTCCTCCTCCTCCTCCTCCTCCTCCTCCTCCTCCCTCCTCCTCCTCCTCCTCTCCTCCTCCTCCTCCTTCTCGTTGTCCTCCTCCTCCTCCTCCTCCTCCTCCTCCTCCTCCTCCTCCTCCTCCTCCTCCTCCTCTGCACGGGGGCTCGCAGCGCAGGGCCGCGGGGAGGCCCACGGAGAGAGGCTCCCCCACGGCAGGCCTCGGCTGCTTGAGCGTGGGCTCATCGGGGCGATCCGCATGGGTGCGGAGAGTACGGGTGCAAGGAGCAACACCAGTGCCTGTCAATTTTGAAAACAGGGCTCGCTGTCGGTGTCGCCGCGGACTGTGCCCACTTGAGACAGAAGGCCGCCTTCCCGGCCCCTGCTGGTTTGGGGCAGCATTTCCGTTGGGCCTCTTCCTGAAACATCGCATTCCTGAGTTTAGTTGTTCTCTCTATCGTTATCCTTCGCCTCTCTCCCTCCTTACCATGCTCCCGCTGTCTCGACCGTTGTTCGCTTGGAGTGGGGCTCCGAGATCATGGCCAGACTTTCAAGGGAACGGGTGAAGCAAATCTGTCGGGCATTCTACATGCGTTTTCCGTATCCATTTCGGGCGTCCAGATAAGAGTGGCCTTTCTCGGAATTTGGAATATATACATTACCAGTGGCGGGTTGTTTTTTTCAATCCCGAGACTTTGTGAGGTCGGGGACGACGTCGGGGTGGTGTGGTGTATACCTTTCCCCCGTTTTCCCAGGGGAAGCAACGACAAATGTATACACCAGGACTCCGTAGACACCCAGATCCGCGTCCCTGTGAGAATTCCGGCGCAGGGTCTGGAAAAGCGTCGGTGCATAGAGTTCGTTTCCCTACTTCCGCCAGAGTGGCCTTCGACGTGGACGCGTCGGGCCCCCCCGATCGCTGAGCGCGACGCGATCGATCAGCGGCCTGCGCCCCCGGGTTCGGCCCCCCCACTCGCGCCCCCCGGAGAGCCGCGCCCCCCGGAGAGCCGCGCCCCAGAGGCCACTCTCACCTCGAGCCGGGCCTTTTCCTTCAACAGGAGGCGCATCCACGAGGGACTTAAAACACAGTGTGGGGGCATTTCTTTGGCATGTTTTTGACTACTTTGGAGCATCTCTGGATGCTTTTCCATCTTCGTCCAAAGTCCGCCAGTAGGGGGACATTTGTTTGGCATTGTTTGATTATGTTGGAGCATCTCTGGATGATGTTCCATCCTTTGTCCACAGTCCGCCGTTAGGGGGACATGCCCGACCTGATCTTGCCTCACCGAGCGCGTTCCACTGCTCGCAAAGTGCCTGCTCGCAAACGTCCGAAACATACACGTCTGCTTCGATGTAATTTCTCGTAGATCCCCCCGGGCGGATCCGGGCCATTTGCGAGCAGTCACTTTGCGAGCAGTGGAGCACGCTTTGCCGCGCTTCAGCGCCCCAGGGCGGCCCTCGTGGCTCTCGCCGAGGCGGGGCTCAGGAGGGGGCCGGGCAGCCCCGCCGGGTGCTCCAGGAGAGCTCGGGGGCCCCCAGACGGGGTGGTGACCACACCGTGCGGTGAGTCGGTGGGGACTCTGGGTCATCGCACGGCTTTGGGACTCGGGTCGTTCTCCGAGGACGTCTCGGGCGACAGGGGCATCCGAGGTCCCAAGACCGTGCGGTGGCGGACCGTGCGGTGAGGTCTTAGAGGAGTTCGAGGTCACCGCACGCTCTGTCACCGCACCGTTTCAGGGTGGGAACCCCGGCCACGCGCAGGAAGAGGCTGGGGGGAGGGGAGGGCTTCTTGGAAGCACCCCTGCTTCTTAGAGGGCGCGGGCGGTGGGGGGAGGGGGGAGGGCTTCTTGGGAGCGCCCCTGCTTCTCAGAGGGCGCGGGCCCCATCTGCAGACGCGAGGCCGGCGCCTTCTCAGAGGCAGCCTGCTCCTACAACCCTCTCCCAAATAAACTGAGGGATTCTGTTTTCGGTGATTGTATGGTCAGCGCTACTCCACTGCTGACGCTAGATATCTGACGTGGACGCCAGGGCTTCAAAGATCCGACGACCCCTCCGCAGCATGGAAGAACGCAGCTTCTAACGAGTGCCCGAGGAGATCGGTCGTCGTGATTTCCAACTGCGTTTCTGCTTATTTTTGACGAGGCTCCTAGGAAGCCCTCCCCCCTCTCCCTCCGCCTCCTCGGTGCGCGCCGCCGGACGGCGCGCGGCAGGTGTGGCGGCAGAAGTCGGGCGAGCTGGCTCCGCCCGCCAGCCGGGCCACGCCCCGAGAGCGAGGAGAGGAAGTCGGGGTCAGTGGTTCAAAGATGGGGTCCCGAGGGATGGGGTCCCGAGGGCAAGGTTCGAAGAAGAAGAAGAAGGAGAAGAAGAAACGCCTCAAACATAAACTTTCGGCACTCTGCGCGGATTTCTTGGATCCGCGCTGGGCCCCCCCCCAGCGGCGCCTCCAGCGCCGCCCCTGGCGCGCTCCGCGCGCCAGGGAGGGGGGTCCAGCGCAGATCCAAGAAATCCGCGTGGAGCGCCGAAAGTTTATGTTTATGGCGGTTTGTTCTTCTTCTAAAGGTGCGTCATGAAACATAAATCCACCCTTGGATTCCTTCCTGTCCGTAGGCCCCCATCTCTTAGGACCCCATCCTTGAACCACCGACAGGGGAGGAAGAGGCACCGATGCCGCTACCCTTGCCTCGTCGCCGCCGCTGGATTCGCCCCGGGATCTTAGGCAGAGCGCGCCCCTGGAGAGGTCTGGGGAGGAGCGGTATCGGCACCTGCTGGTCTGCCCCGAGTCGGGTGCTGCCAGGAGGGCCTCTCGCCCGAGCGGCTCCCCGGGATGCCCCAGGAGGCCCCGACGGCCTCCAGGGCGCCCCCCTCCCGAGGCCCAGAGGGCCCCCGGGGGGGCTCCGAAGAGGTGGAGTGAAGAGCCGGGGGCACCTCGGCTCGGGCCGGGGGCACGCTCCAGCAGCCCCCGGCTGAGAGCGAGGGGAGGGCGAGGGGAAGGGGGAGGAGGGCAGGTCAAGACGAGGGGGGCGCTTGCAGGACTACCTTCGTCAGCCGTTGGCAGCAGCAGGAGGGCAGGAGATCGGAGGAGGAAGACCAGGGTCTCTTCCAGTCGTGCATTCTCCCACAGTCCCTCGTGCTCCCCTCTCTGCTCCCCGTGCTCTTGCTCCGCGGCGAGCAGACCGTCGACTGCCCGTGTGCGGCCCAGGTCATGATAATTGGTGCGCGCGTGAGTGGGGCGTTTCTGATTTTTCTTGGCGAAGCGTGATGGGGTGCCGCGGATGTTGCAGCGTGTCCTTGTGTGTGTGTGTGTTCAGAGATGCGCTTGTGACGGGTTGGGTTCTTCGCCAGACTATTTCCCACCATCCTGTGGCGTTGGGCCCTCGCTTTGAGAACGCTGCTCTACGCAGGGCCCGCGTCCCTCCTCCTCCTGCTGCCCCGTCCTCTCGCTTACCTCTGCCCTCCACGTGTCTCTGCTTCGGCACCCCCCCTTCGCCCCAGTGGCAGGGCCCGCATGCGTCCCCAGGCCCGCTTCGGCACACCATTCACACGCCTCGTTGCCCCATAGGAGGCTCCACCGAAGCCGACCGTGGCAGGGCCCGACCGACTCGAGCTCAACTCGATTGCGAATTCGATCCGACTCCAATCGCGCACCGAAGTTGCACCCATATCCACCATAACCTCCGTATTACCCCGGAAGGTTGGTCCTGTCTGTATGGGTGCCACGCCGTGGAGTTTGTCCTCTGTGGGCCCTGGACCCGAAGCTCGAGGCGAGCCAACTCGGCAAATTTGGCCGCCTCAACTCTTCTGGGCGAAGGTCTGGAGGAGGAGGAGGAGGAGGAGAGGAGAGAGGAGATTATCAGGAGGGGATGAGGAGGAGGAGGAGGAGGAGTATGGGGAGGAGGAGGGGGAGGAGGAGTGGGAGGAGGAGGAGGAGGAGCAGGAGGAGAGGAGGAGGAGGGGGGGAGGAGGAGGGGGAGGAGGAAGGGGGAGGGGAGGAGGAGGAGGAGGAGGAGGGGTGAGAGGAATAGGGGGCTGTGGAGGCGGACGTGCTGTGCACGGCGGGGCAGAGCACGAGCAGGCTGTGGCCGGCCGCGTCGTGGACGACCGTCCTGTGGGCGAATGGATTTCCCGCCTGTCTGTGCCCCTCCTCTCCTTCCCCCCTCCTCTCGGCCATCCTGTTCATTTTTTCTTCCTCCCTCGTCATCCTTTCCCCTCATCCCCCCTTCGCTCTCCCTCCTCGGTCCTCCCTCTCCTGCGGCGTGGGGCCTCCTCCCTCCTCCTCCTCCTCCTCCTCGTCCTCCTCCTCCTCGTCTTCATCCTCCTTCTCCTCCTCCTTGTCCTCCTCCTCCTTCTCCATCTCCTCCTCCTCCTCCTCCTCCTCCTCCTCCTCCTCCTCCCCCTCCTCCTCCTCGTCCTTCCTTATTCCCCGTCTTCCTCCTCCCCGCCCTCCTCCTTTCTTCCCCGCCTCTCCCCCCGCTCATCCTTCTCCTCATCCCCATTCCCACCCCGCAGCCAGCAGCGCAGGTTCCCATCCGCGTCACGCACGTGCTTCGCGCCAAGGCCTTTTCTGCAGGGAGCTGGGCGAGGAGGATGACGAGGCGAAGGTGGACGAGGGGGGAGACGGAGGAGGTGGAAACGGCAGGAGGACGGGGAGAAGGTGAAGAGGAGGAAAAGCAGGAGCAGGAGCAGGAGCAGGAGGCGGAGGAGGAAGATGAGGAGGAGGAGGCGGAGGCGGAGGAGGAGGAGGAGCGGACTCCCCTCAGGATCACCAGGGAACATATTATATTTTTCACCGGGAAGGCCCGCCCCACCCCCCTTGGCATGTCGTGGCCTGGTCGAGGGTGCCACAGGCGTCTCTTTATTTCCCCACATGTTTCGTGGGGTTCTGGTTTTCTTCTCTGCCGCGTCGCACCCGCGTCTCCTCACACACACCTCCCCTCCCCCCCCACACACAGCACAGCACAGCTCAGCACAGCTCAGCTCAGCACAGCACAGCACAGCACAGCACAGCACAGCTCACCGCAGCACAGCACAGCACAGCACAGCACAGCATAGCACCCACACACACACACTCACTCACTCACACACACACACACAAGCACGCAAGGCGTGGCAGGAGTGGCACTTTCTCGACACCACAGGGGGTGCGCAGAGGGTGGTCCCTCAGCGCGGCCTCTATCCGTGACACGCTCGCAGATCGTGGCAGGAGTGGCACTTTCTCGACACCACAGGGGGTGCGCAGAGGGTTGTCCCTCAGCGCGGCCTCTATCCGTGACACGCTCGCAGATCGTGGCAGGAGTGGCACTTTCTCGACACCACAGGGGGTGCGCAGAGGGTGGTCCCACACCGCGGGCCTCTAATACGTGGACACGCGCGCAGATCCGTGGCAAGGAGGGCACTTTCTCGCACCACAAAGTGGGGTGCGCAGAGGGTGGTCCCCTCAGCGCGGCCTCTATACGTGACACGACTCGGCATAGATCGTGCAGGAAGTGGGCAGCTTTCTGACACGCAACAGGGGGTGCGGCGAGGGTGGTCCCTCACTGCGGCCTCTATCCGTGACACTCTCGCAGATCGTGGCAGGAGTGGCACTTTCTCGACACCACAGGGGGTGCGCAGAGGGTGGTCCCTCACTGCGGCCTCTGTCCGTGACAGTCTCGCAGATCGTGGCAGGAGTGGCACTTTCTCGACACCACAGGGGGTGCGCAGAGGGTGGTCCCTCAGCGCGGCCTCTATCCGTGACACGCTCGCAGATCGTGGCAGGAGTGGCACTTTCTCGACGCCACAGGGGGGGGGTGGCGCAAAAGGTGGTCCCTCAGCGCGGCCTCTATCCGTGACACGCTCGCAGGTCGTGGCAGGAGTGGCACTTTCTCGACACCACAGGGGGTGCGCAGAGGGTGGTCCCTCAGCGCGGCCTCTATCCGTGACACGCTCGCAGGTCGTGGCAGGAGTGGCACTTTCTCGACACCACAGGCAGAGGGTGGTCCCTCAGCGCGGCCGCTATGCACGACGGTCGTCCATGGCATAGCAGGCGTGGCACTTTCTCGACGTCATAGGGGGTGCGCAGGGAGTGGTCCCTCACCGCGGCCGCTATGCACGACGGTCGTCCAGAGCATAGCAGGCGCGGCACTTTCTCGACACCATAGAGGCTGCGCAGGGGGTGGTCCCTCACCGCGGCCGCCATGCACGACGGTCGTCCAGGGCATAGCAGGCGCGGCATTTTCTCGACACCATAGAGGGTGCGCAGGGGGTGGTCCCTCACCGCGGCCACTGGCTGGCTCGAATCCGTCCTCGATGGAGGATAGAAGGCTAGGACGAGGGAGGAGGTTCAAGCAATATGGCGTTGGATGACACAGAGGGGAACATTCGCGACGAGGGCTGACACCGCAGAATTGCGCATATATGATAAACTTAAGCAAGCACATAAGATTTAAATTAGGTATGTGGGGTTCCTCGGTAGCGTAATTTTGAGGTGCGCATGTACAGGAGGAGGAGGAGGAGGCGGAGGAGGAGGAGGC